CACTCCTTCGCAAAGGAATGCCGCAGAAGTATGTGAATATACTGAGTTCACTCTACTCACTTACCTCTGGTAGGATCTACGGCGAGCTGAGTAGGTCGTTCGTAACTAGCAGCGGTGTTCGTACAGAGTGCCCTCTTTCGCCATTCCTCTTCAATTTCGTTATGGACGGAATACTGTAGAACGCACTTAGTGGTCTCCAAAATGTAGGTATTCAGTGAGCAGCTGGAGAAAAGCTGTGCGATTTGGAGTACGCTGACGACATGGTTTGCCTGTTCGAATGTTTGGAAGATGCGCAAAGAACACTTGACAGATTAGCAATTTCTGTCGCTCCGTTCGGCATATGCTTTGCACCATCAAAGTGATGTTACAAGACTGGATGTTACCGAGTGCTGCTCTGAAACTAGACAGTCAGGAATTAGCTGAAGTTGTCTGCTTCTACTTAGGTAGCTCCGTGACCAACGGCGGTAACGCATCAAAGGAGGTAACTGCCGGCATTTCCAAGGCTAGAGAAGCGTGCGCAGGACTAAAACACCTGTGGCGGCGACGTGACGTTTCATTTAAGTTGAAAAGTCGCGTATACTGCACCACTGTACGATCAGTTCTACTTTACGGTTGTGAGACTTTGAATTTGCGGGTAGAAGACACCCGTCGTTTAGCAATGTTCGGTAATCGATACTTACGTTGTCTGGCCCAGGTTGGATGAAGTGAGCGGGTTAGTAACTTGGAAGTAAGTCGTCGGGTGTTTGGGAATACCTCAAGCAATAACTCGCTATCGCTATCGAATCCAGCTCAATAGGCTCCGTTGGTCAGGACACGTTTTGCTTATGTCCGACGGTCGCCTACCGCAGCGCGCCTTGTTTTCAGTGGCTGTTACAGGCTGGAGAAAGCCACGTGGAGCCAGCTGATGACGTTGAGACGAGGCATAGAGAAATGAACAGAGCGATCAGGTAGAGTAGGTGTCTCTCGTCTTCCGGGTTGGGGTCCAAAAAACTCCGTAATCGCATGGTTGGAGACACTGAAGGTCATGGCTGCGAACCAACAGCAATGGCGATCATGCTGTCACTTCTTATCAGACCAGAATACTTGAAATTATATGTATGCACAGTTGAACTGTTTACTCTGTGTTGACCGTAGAGGTTCGCTTTCTTTTCCCGTCCCTAAAAATAGGCCCCATCCCTGTCCTCCTTACACATTCTCACTTATTTTGTATGCAATGAGTTTGGCAGCGATCAGTGAAGTTCGCTTCACTGTATTACGTTGTACATTAATGATGATGGGATGAAACTTTGGAAACGAATACGTTGTCCGTTTCACGTTGCTTCCCGAAATGCTAATAATCGGATGGATCATCATCATCAGCGTACAGCGAAATACGGTCAACTTCACTGATGGCTGCCAAACTCGCAATGCATACAAGATTAGTGGTAAACTTAAGTTAGTCAGGGATTGGACCTACTTTGAGGGAGGGGGACGAAGGTGAACCTTTATGATCAGCACACAGAGTACACAATCGAACTCTGCATACATGCCGTTTCAAGCATTCTGATCTGATAAGAAATGACAACAAAAACGTCACTACTGTCGGTTCGCTGCCGTATTCTTGAATGTATCCAACCAACAAGTTCTGGAGTCTTTCGGACCCCAACTTGGAAGACGCGTTACACGTACTCTACCTAACAGCTCCGTGCATTTCTTCATGCCCCACCTCCACGTCATCTGTTGACCTCCATGTGGTTTCCTCCAGCCCAATGCGGCTACAGTGAATAAGAAGCGATGTGGTAGACAGTAGCTGGGCATACGCAATACGTGACCCATCCAGCGAAGTCTACTAATCTGAATTCGATGTGATAGGAGGTTTGTATCTGATAGATTCCCAAACACACGACGGCTTATCTTCAGATTACTAATCCGTTCGCTCCATCCCACGTGGGCTAAACTACGTAAACACCGGGCGGTGGTGGCCCGGTGGTAACGTCACCAAATTATCAACCTGGGGATGTGTTCGAATCCCACAGCCATCGCCTGATTTTCCTCGTTGTGTGTTGAATGGCAGCCCTTTGATTGGCTGCTTCCCTCTTCCTGGAAATAGTATCTTTGTACATTCAATAAAAGGAAATAAAAAGAGAACTTCTAGTCGATGTATATATTCTACTCGCACATTCAAGGTCTCACATTCATATAGGAGAACTGAACGAACGCTGGCACAATATACACGACCTTTCAACTTAAGCGAAAAGTCGCGTCTACGCCAAAGGTGTTTCAGTCCTTCGTATGCTGCTCGAGTCTTGGAAATGCCGGCGGTTATCTTCTTTTCCTGCACTACCGTCATTGGTCACGCAACTACTTAAGTGGGAAAAGTAATCCAATGTAATTGATTCCTAGCCATTTGATTTTTAGAGCGGAAGTAGGTGACACCCAGTCCTGCAGTGTCACTGCACGTTGAAGGTGCAAAGCACATACCGAATGTGGCAACTGCACTTGTTAGTCTATCAAGTGCGCTTAGCCATAAAAGTATCAGCGAAAGGTGACCCGATGACAATCCTGACCATATATTTCACTATTAACTAATACTGGGCATAATCCGTGCATACAAATAGTAATTGTTCCAGCTCATCCAACGAACTGTCCCATTCGGCGTTGTATCCCTGAAAAAAATACCAAATGTTTGTGAATAGTGAGGTAATGCCAAGGGCCAGCTTCTGTTTACCCTCGAGATACTTCAAACTAGGCCAGCGAGGGAAACAATTAGAACATTTCAAGTGCACCCAGTTACCACTTCAGTGGTGTAATTGTACGCGAGGAAGTTGGGATGGATGCGAAGGTTATTTATGTATAGAAAAAATGGAGACAAAATCCTAAAAACTCCGGCGTTAATTTTTATAGAGGAGGTTTTTATCGTTACAAAAAGCGAATTGTGAAAGATAACTGATAAACACATTTAACACATCTAATCCCAATCCGCAATCCGAAAGGCTTGAATGAAAATACCACGATCACGTGTTCCAAAAGAATTAGCATAATCAGATGAACACTGTCAGACCCTTTATGCAATGGAGAAGAAGTAGATTGAACGTGTGTGTAACCATATCACGAGTAGGAAGGAAAGGCTTGTAAGCAACTTGGAGGGGATCGTGTGCATCAAACAAGAGAGTTATCCGGCTTAAAAGAATTCTTTCGAAAACTTTCAATAGTGTTGATATATCGCCCGGTACATTGAAAACCATTTATTGGGATTAGGTGTTATTTGGGGGTATATGTACGAATCAAGTACCTTCCCAAAGTAAATGCAAATTGAAAAAGCTACCAATGGGTGAGAAAGCTGTCCGACACATTTTAAACAGCATGGAGAGTAAGGAATCAGAGCTGTGTCTTGTTCGGTTCGAGATGCTTCGCTGTCTTCAAAACTTCAACCGGAAAGCCAGGACGGTTCTTTTCAGCGGATAGAAACATTGATTTGGGTACGAAAACATCAAAATCTGTTGATTATGCGCAATAAAATGCAAAGAATGGTGGTAAACGTATAATCCTACCGGACGGGAGATGTGGCGCGGGACATACCTCAATTATCGCATTGTCCTAAATATTATGTTCAAGATCGCCCGGGAAAGCACACCTAGTCAGTGCGCAGAATTTTGACTGTCGATAGTGTTACTGATAATAATTTTCCAGCCCACAGGTGAGTTATATTTTATTCTTAATCGATGAGTAAATCTCTATAAATGGCTTCTTTCCTCACTATTGGTGTACATTCATATGGGAATCAACTTTTTCGAATGTTTGGAACAGTAGGCTCCTAATTCGTTACAAATGAAACTATCATCGAACCACCAAAAGGAAAGTGGGCGGTCACATTTCTTTGGCAAATTGCTGAGATCACTTCATGTACTCCGTCGTGAATGCATGGTTCACATTTAAATGGCTTTGTTTTTCACCCTAGCCGGCCTTCTTACAATTGAACCCCCGTAAGATTAATGTTGCGAGTTTGTTCGGTGTGATGGTTGTGTGTTTGAATACTACCACCAACAACAACAGCAACGAGAAAAAATTCCCCACTTCCTTACACCAAGTGTCCTTTGATCAACTGCAGCTCCTTTTCCCACATTGCTTGTAGCACCTTACATCTGATAGATGAAATGGACTTGACATTATCGTTACTGCTTTGCTTTTGTTTGTACGTACAAACAATAGATAACGCTCGTCGCATATCGTTCTTCGTTGTTAAACCAGTTTCTCTTGTGCACCAGCCACCACACCGACGCTCTCTGTTCAGTTGCGTTGTTTTGAGCGTGTATTTGTTTCTCTCGACACGGTACAAGTGCGTCCATAAAAACTGGCCCCGCAGTAGGATAGAAACGATCATGTATGGTGGTGTGTACTTCTCGCAACATTTTCACACTGGTTCGTATTATTTCAGCAAACCGTTGAAATCGTTGCAAATCATATGCACAGGCTGTTCGCACTGTGCTGAACCGTTTCAATTACAGAAAGCAATGAACAGAACCAGAACACTCAACTGTAAGGTTCATGTTTTTTCGGCTTGGTGTATACCATAGTGGCCATAAAATACACCGACTGCACGCATTTATTACAGAATACCAATCGTGGTTCAGTGCCACAATGCTGAACTGTTTTCGGATATCTGCTCTAACGAAACAATTCTGTTCTCGATCTGTCATTCAGGTCTGTCTGAGCATATTGGGTACCTGGGCTGGACCTGAATGGACTCCCGCTCAGAGTCTCTGGACCGTCCTCGTTTCCATCCAGTCTTTGATGAACGATCGACCGTATCACAATGAACCGGGTTTTGAACGTGAGAAAAATCCAGGTGATTCGGAACGCTACAACACAATCATCGCTCACGAGACAATTCGATGTGCCGTATGTGACGTGTTGGAAGGGCATTCTTGGTGTCCTCCAGATCTACTATCCGTGGTTCAATCCAGCTTTGAAGATTACTATGATCACTATGTGGAGGTGTGTAAACGATATGTACATCTGGACGGGCAGCGGATGAACGATCCGTTTGGTGAACGGCGAGGCAAATTTGATTTTGTTGCACTGCTACATCGGTTAAAACGGATCAGAACACAACTGTGCGGTCCGGACTCTATCGATAGGAACAGTACAAACTAATAAACATTTTCGGTCCTCGACAACAATGAGTACATGTACGGAAAGACAAACAAACAGAAGGACTAACAAACAAACATGCACATGACTTCGTGATCGCTATTCTGGTCCCAATCCTTTACCTATCGTTTTGTGCTTCATTTTGTGATCTTTACCGGTTTTACGTCGTGCTTTACTTGTCTGTTATCACCCATGCCCAGTGAAATCCCACTGTAATTCATCCTACCTTCCCGGTCACCCTTCTGCTACTTCTCCCACCACCACCCGTCTCTGTTTCGTACTGTTGATCATTGATTGAATCGGTCGTTATTTTTCCCCCATTGATTTACGTTGTTTGTTTCCGGACGATCACGTGCAATCTGACATAAACTGTTGGGTGTTTTTATTTCTCCCTCTGTCCCAGCCGCCGCTCACAGATCCACGCCTGCTACTCATCTCCGTTCTCGAAATTAGCGTATTCATGTTCTTACTTTCATTTTGCTTCAGTCGTGTTCATAACACTCCAATGCTTCGGCCCGTATCTCTCCATCTTTGTCTTGTTCTCCCTATTTGATTCACACTGCGGAATATCCCACTCACTAACGGATTTCGCGGATGATTTCTGTACAGATAGCTGTTTGTTCTGCTAATTATCCTCTCCGGAATCAGTACTATCTCTGGCACCAAACGCCTGCATACAAATTTGGGCGCTTGACTTTACCATGCGTTTGGAACCATTGAGATTTTTCCCGGTTTATAGACAAGCCAAATACCACTCAAGTTGAAACCTTTGTTTGTAGTTGTTTGAATCCTCAATTGCGATCGATCGGGTTTATCGTTTGGTTGAAACAAATTTGTTTGTGCGCATTACTTAATCACGAAACAGTCTTTGGCGACAGATTCACACAATACATGCTAATAAACGTAAAGCGGGGTGCCTGTGGATTTGCCCAGTATCCCGTCAGACACATGTCAGTTGATCTGCACGGTGGTTAATACAATGGATCCAAGGCCTAAATTTTGCAGTAGGCAAGTAGATATGCACCCTTGACTAGCTCCAGTGAGCACGAAAGTCAGTTATGATGCCTTCCAAATGTATATTTGACCAAGGAACAGCATTGTGAGTGACGGCAGAGTCAAAAGATGTGCTAGAATGAATAATATAATGTGAAATTAGAAACTTACAGTTCTTTGGTAGGAAACCAATACATGATTCTGCCGATTTCGTCGTATACAGAACAAGAGAAACCTAAACTGAAAAGCTTGGATACACAACATCTGTTCAAACCCTATTCGTTTCATCAAAGTAGGAATTCATTGGCCCAACTAGGGTTCGAACCCGGGATCTCACAAGTATAACGGAATCAGACTAACCCCCGGACATCTGATCGGACGGTTTCAGTTTGTATGTACACAACTCATCTAAACCTTGTTGCTAACATCTAACCTCGCTCAGTACTAACCTCATGACTTGTTCTGGGCGGTGGATTTATGCACTGCTACTGAGTTCCAACGAAGTCGATACAGTTCAAATTCAAATTTTTATTATGGGTAAATTACAAAGCTGATGCTTATTGAGTCCCATAGGATATGTACACACTGGGTTCGGTTGGTAGTACAATTGAATAGTAAATTCTGACGTTCACTCACGGGTACTGAATAGTTAGGTGGTTCAACGCTTCATCTAAGCGTGATTTGAATGAATCAATGGTTGATGCACAAACAACTTGAGGTGGAAGAGAGTTCCAGATGTTACAAACTCTGAGGCTGAAATAATGACACATTCAGTCTAGCCGACTCTTTTGGAGCAGAAGTTTAAACGGACGTCCTCGGAGGTGACCATTTCTGGATAGCGTCACTAGAGTACTACACGGGTGGTTAGGTTAATGTAGTATTTGATAAACGAGGATCATGTCTCCCCGTATTCGACGGTATTCAGACAAATGGAGTCCGAGAATTTACAGCCTTTCTCCGTAGGTCTTAGATTGTAACCCTTTGATCATTTTGGTTGCTGTTCTCTGCGGACGTTCGAATGCCTTATGGTCGCGAATCAGCCATGGATTCCAGGCCTGTATAGTATACTCGGTGTGTGGTTTAATATATTCTGATAATAAATGGGACAATAGGCCTGTTTCGAATGATCCAAAAACACGTTTTAGCAATCCAACGTGTTTTATAGCCTTTGATGATGCTCTTGAGCAATGTGTGGAACATTCTAGATCCTCACGAACGATAACTCCCAGGTCCTTTTCATTTGGAGAACGCGGCAATGGCTGAGTTCCAAATAGGTATGGAAAGTGACTCAAGTGGCGCAGCGATACAACCTTGCATTTCTCAACGTTGAATGTCAATAATGATGATGATGCCAATAATGATGGAGCATCGATAAGCTGCGTCGAGAGTTTCCTGTAAGGTTTCGTAATCGTCAGGATATTTTACCGTCCTCCATGTTTTGACGTCATTTGTGAATAATAATGCCTTTTCTCCAACGACATCTGATAGGTCGTTTATAAATGCTAGGAAAAGGTACGGATCCTTGTGGAACTCCACTACAGCCTCAGTCGGTCCCGACAGAGAACCATTAACTCGAACCAATACGGTACGTTGTCGAAGAAATTCCTCAATCCAGTCCAGTAGCAGTCCTCGGACACCGTAATTACGGAGCTTTCGCAGCAATATATGGTGGTTAACCCAGTCAAAAGCTTTGGAGAAGTCTAAGTAGACTAAGTCTACTGCGGGTTTTTGGTGAACTAGCGTTTCCTTCGAAATCCGTGTTAGGCCGGCGAAAGTATGTAATGCTTCTCAAAATTATCCCTCAGACAATCAGCAACGGTCGATTCCATTACTTTTGACAGCAGGAAGAAGTGTAACTGGACGGTAGCTCGCAGGATCACTTCTGCAGCCACCTTTGTAAATAGGCGAAATGATGCCATATTTCCTGGATTGAGGGAACATCGTCTTGTCAAACATTCTTTGGTATAAACGGGCAATTATTTCACATATGTAATTTGCCAAGGACGTCAGGGTGTGTGGGCGGATGTTGTCTTCCCCTGGAGATGAATTCCGGCGCAGTGCCAATAGTTTGTTTTTAACCGTTTCAGATTTGAACGCCACAGTGGACAGTTAGGGGTATGGGACACTTGATAGGTGTGGAAGCTGTAATCCGCATTTGTTACCTGCAGTGAACACTTCATAGAACTGGACTTTTAGGAATCCGGCTGCTTCAGAAGTAGCAGTGGAAACTCGTCCTGCATGCCTTAGAGCCAGTATTTCGTATTTCACTTTTCTGGTAGCACTGATATGCTTACACAGCAGCTTTGGATTGGAAATAAATTTGTGCCAAAGTTTCTTGAAACTTCCGTTTATATTCTCTCATTAATTTTACACAAAGGTTTCTCAACATGATATAGTTCTCCCAAGTGTCGGCTGTCGGACATCTAAACTCTCGCCAGGAGAAATTCCTTCGTGACATCCATTTCTTGGTTCGACTACGGATAGGTGATAATCGTGTAGAAGACGTACCGACAGGCTTGGTTTTTGTGGCGATCGTTTTGAGTTTTGTTAGTGTGATAAGGAATCTTTTCCAGGACTCCAGTGGATATAGCTACTCTTTTGGTTGTGTCCATTGTTTGACAGTAAGTCAAGTCAAGTCAAGTAAAGCTTTATGCACCCGATAGGATGAATTTTCAGCATTTTCGACAAGTTACAGTGGGGAAAACACTAAGCATTGGAGAAAAAGAAGAAATATACATTTACTAAATGTAAAACAAACGGATTAGATAAAAGCCTCGTGTGAAAGATGATTGTTCAGGTCAGTAATAATATTTGCTCGGTTGACCAAGATACGAGCAAAATAAGGGATCATGCTGTTTTTGTGTAGTCGTGAGTGCAAAAAGAATCCGAAATTGGGAGCGGGTACTCGGATGAAACACCGATTTATTGAGATCGGAGTGTAGGCAGTGTTCTTCAGTGGACAGGATATGGCTGATAAATCGATCGCATGAATCAAACTGCTTGCTCACATTAAAGTCAACCAAAACGACCTTTGAAATGCCGCTGCAACGAGATAGATCTGGAAAAGAGAATAAAGTCTTTCTCCTTCAGACCAGGAAAATCTACGGGGGAACAGTACAACCAATGTGGAAGAATGCATGCAGTCACTAATTTAAGAATTACGTTTAAGGGAACACTGAGCTTTTTAAGTCTAAAAGCGTAGAAGGATAGTCTACAAACCCGAATGTAAACGTTTTCAATATGTTTGAACCAAGAAAGTTTGTGTGACAAAGTGACTCCAAGATATTTCACAGAGTTAGCTTTGGGGATGGTATTACCACTAACAGGAAGTACAGGCTGATTGCTCAAAAGGGTTTGATACGGCATGCCTGTTTTAAGGCTAAAAGNGCTAAAAGAAACATCCACACATTTATCTACATTTAGCAATAAAGATCGAGAAGTCGACCAACTAAAAGTGTTATTTAGACAAATATGAAGTTGACAGAGACAATCAGGAACAGTTGAGAGACAGCCGACCACCACGTCATCAGCATATTTGCAGGCGATAAATTTGGGAGGGATGGGAAGGTTCTTAATATACAATTAAAAAAGAAATGGAGACAAAATTGCACCCTGAAAAACTCCAGAATTAACTTCTAGCAGGGAGGAAGATTTATCGTTAAAAAAAGTGTATTGCGTCCGATGAGTGAAGTAATTAGTTAGTACATTCAGTAAATTAGGTACCAGACCATAATCCGAAAGACGTTGAATGAGAATGCCGAGGTCAAGTGATCCGAAAGCATTAGCATTGTATTTCTGTTTATTGTAAGCCCTTTTTTATCAGTCACTTTCATCATATTACAGTAGTGAACATTTACATCGCTCCTGACACGCCTGTCTCTGATATTCGTCTATTTTTCGACTCCTTCTCTTCACAACTTATAACCGGTTTAGATCAGTCTTTATGCATTGCTGCTGGTGATTTTAGTCGTTTTCCTTACAACTTTAGGCTTAACGAACCTTGTAAATTT